AATTGAAAACCAAGAGCGATTTGGTTTAGATAGCCTTTTAGAGTATTCTCCTTCTAAATGGCTTTCTGAGCGAAATCCAGTTATTGTCAAATTTATACAAACTTTTACACATAACGAAAATGAGCATATCTGAAGGAGCAATACAATGAGTTATTTTGTTTAACTTCAGGTATGAAAAATGAAATTTATGAAGAACTAACTAATTATCTTACTATTATTTTAGAAGAACTTTGCATCGAGAAAATCAAGAAACGAATGTGATCGATGAATTGATACGTCATCAAAACCGGATGGGATATGCAAAAAAATGCTCAGCTTGCCAAACGTCTAACATCGATAATAAGAAGCGAATCTGCCCTACATGCCGTAATAAATTACCAACAGTTACCGAGATGGATCAGCAGTTTAATGAGCCGCTTAACATCGCACATACGGCTGAAAGATCGCTAGTCATTTGTTCTCGCACGTTTGAAGCACGATCAAATCCGGAGCGTGAGGTTCATATACCTCAATTATTCGTTCCTGATCCGATAGGAGTTAATCCAAATTCGGTTTCTAATGTTCGAAAAGTGCTTGAGCATATTGAAAAAGTGTCCGGGGTTAAAGAGGGTAGACGTAAATGGGTTGCGGTTACGTGCTAGTTTTACTGCTGAATCACGCCGATTTCGGGTTCGAATAAGACAGACCGAATTTGTAAACCCAAATGTTAATAGCCGTATTTTTCAAGACATAAACGGAGAGTGGATGCTAAGTGAAGAAATGAAAAGATTCGGTGAAATTGCTCATATGAAAAGAATAGATTTTATAAAAGCAAAGCTAACTAAAGAAACATCACTAGGTATTTGGCAACCAATTCCAATAACACAAGAAGAAGAAAATTGTCAGAAGGCTGAAAGTTCGTTAAAGAAATCACATATATTATCCATAATCAATTCTTTAATTCCTTTTTTAAGTGAATCAGAACGGTCACGTTTTCGAGGTTTATCAAGTAAATCCCGCAACGACTTAGTGAATATTCTTCAAGAAATTAAAAATATAATATCTGATAATAATATTAATAAATAGTCATGTGCTTCCATGATGTTCTACAAGTGAATACGAGAAAATTCTGGAATTGGTCTATCCCTATAAAAAGTATGATCTGCATCATCCGAATTTGGAAAAACTCCTGACTGTATTATGTCGAGAGTGTCTATTACTATGTAACATATTTCTATACTCGTTGATTTTGAACTGAGATGGGTCCCAAACTCAGCCACAACGATTATCTAAATATAAATTAAGAGTCATTATTTATGTAGAAAAACTTATTTAATTGGAAATTACTTGATTATTTAGACACTTCCGTGCTTACACTGCCATAACAAAACTATACTGATGGTGCATAAATTATGCTGATATCATACTGCATGAGGCTTTTGTTATCAATATCATAGAATCAAATTATACGCGTGGTTTATGGCGCAAACTATAAATTTTAACCAGCAAAAAAATTTTTTATTATGACAATCGCAATATTATGTCAGAATGTGTTACATGTTTATGCTTTGTTATTGGTTACAGTCGCAGGCTTTCACACTCCTTGCTGCATAGATAACAAAATTTATACTTAGAAGGTTATGTGAAAGTCAATTAATATATATCCAGTAGTACAATCCGTCATTTAACACGCAAACACGCGTCTACTCAGACATATATATATATACTGTATATACCCAGACGCTCTCTCCATTGCGCGTGAGTGTATCCTCTCCTCTTTAAAGGCGCAAATACAGCGAACGCTATCTGAAATATACTTTTGTAGCTACACCATACTACGCATACACGACAAACGAGTCTCAAACGGCAAACTCTCAACACTCGGTTTTTATTGACCACTAGTGATACACTCAAACCATTGTGCACTATCCCCCTCACAACAATCTCTCCTCCAAAACGTAAACACGACGGGTTTCGTCACCACTCTATATTATGCACATACGACAGTTTGCTACAGTCGCGAAACAAGTTCTCTAACAAGACACGGTTTATCGACGAATAACTGGCACAAGAGCACAAATACGCGTCTATTATATATCAGGCGTTTTCTTTATCACGCAAGCTCTCCTCTGAAACGTAAATACAACGATTTGTCGCCGCTCTATATTGCGCACATACTGCAGTTACGACACTGTTTATCAGACAACTAACTGATGAAAGAGTTCGAATAAGCGTCTATTTACAAAACACTCACAGACATTCTCAATCTGGTGTCGGTGCTACAAAATCATCTGGATTGCGACATAAATGTTGCGGCAAAGATTTTTAGCACTCATGCAATTGGTACAACCACCTAAGACTTGTTTTTGAGAATGATAAAAGGCAGTACTTTCTGATGATGCCGTTGCTGCTCTCCAGGCACCCGTCTGACCCTTTATGCCCTCAGCCTGCTCCCAGACGGACGCTTCCTTGTTATGGAACTCGCTACTGCCAGCATGCCCTTTAGCTTCAGTGGTAGAAGCCAATACAAAGCCATTCTCCGGATGATGGCGATATTCTATGTACAGTTGACTCTGCCTATACCGAACCTGGATATACCGAACTTTGGATATACCGAACCAGAATCACCAGACC